TAAAACACTTACTAGATTGTTAAAATCACGTTAATCATCTTTAAATTTAAATTAATTAATTTCTATCGTCAACAGTCAACTTATATATCTATACTTTTCCTTGACAGTATCCATTGACTTTTTACATGTCATTAACAATAGTGTAGAAAGAACAAATATTAAATTCCAGATATATTCAAGCAAACAGTGAAATTCCAGGTATTATTACAGTGGTAAGATATTTGCAACTCAATTATACTGCTTTAGTAAACAGAACTCAATAACATGTGGTTTCTGCAATCACAGTATTCTGTCTCAAGCTGACCACTATTGTTGTCGACGGAATATTCTTCACTTTTCAGTTCCCAAAACCAGCCAACTTTTTCTGCAGTCAGACCAAGCAATGTTTCTTTATCACAAAGGGGGGAAAATAAAATCTCTTATCAGAGAGAGAGAACAAGAAGAAGATTATTTACATTCGTTCATTTTCTAAATCCCTTCTACTTTTGTAGAATCTACACAAAATGGAATACAACAGAAGGCTAAGTGCACTTGTCAAGGCCAAAAACCAGTAGTACTTGTCTAGCCTAGCTTCACACATGTCATCAGAAAACCAGCTATTATTTCCCTTTGACTTGGTCAAGTCTTCCACAACAGTTATAAGAAGTGCACTGAGAAAGCTCCCAACTCCAAACACGCTATTGTATAGAGCAAAAGCCATTGTTCTCATCCTAACAGGAACTTCAGAATAGAAGAATTCTTGCATCCCAACGACAGTGAATATGTCAGAAATGCCTAAAAGGATGTACTGGGGCAGCAGCCAAAATATGCTAAGTGGGACTGTCTCTGAATGTGAGCCATGAATCTCAGCTTTTCTACTAATCTTTAGCCTCTGTGTTTCCACACCTGCTGCTGTGACCATTGCTATGATCGAAAGACACATCCCGGTTCCCATTCTTTGCATCACGCTGATACCCTTTTCGTTTCGGGTGACCAGACGTGTGACTGGGATCAGAACTCTGTCATATAAAGGCATCAGGAGAATTATAGACAGAGTGATGGCACTCTGAAGTGTGGCTGGTGGAATCTGGAAGCTGCTTCCGATGTTTCTCTTCATTGTCATACCTTGTTTGGTAAAGAAGGTTGTAGGCAGTTGGAAGATCACAGCAAACATTAGGAGCATTGTCCATATGGGAAAAAGCCGAAGTACTACTTTCGTGTTTTCGAGCATGTAATTAGTACTTGTCGGATTCTTGTCCAAGCCCTCTGTGCTACTCCAGTTTTGGCGACAAAGAGGTTTCTCTTCAAGCCTAGATAGACAGCCAAGCCAAAAGCTACCGTCACAAACTCAAGCATATTACCAATTAGGTTACCTTTCTTGATAAAAAAAAAAAAA